AATGAAAAATTTTGAAACTTCCAAAAGTAAAATAAGAAGGCAGGAAACGTATGGTATGCCTATATAAATTTAAGGACATATCTATCTGGAACAAACAGCGATTTATTTTTTGAAAATTCCCATATCTGTTCCACCTTACCTTTGAAACACATTATCTGTATTCAATGTTGATAATAATTGTCCCGTGAGCTCAAAAATTACAAAATAAAATTATTTTATTGCAAGTTACAGCTTTTATAGTAAGGGATATTTATTTTTAGAACAGGTATGACGTTTCGATCACCGATGCGATCATTCTCAAGTACACAAGTTTTAACGGAAAAGAAGGTTTTAGTATTTAAATCAACATTCAACAACCTAACAATGTATTTAAATGTTAGAATTGATAGTGGGTACTTATGCATGTGCATATCCATTTGTGTGAATTGACAGATTATTTATTTATGGTTGAACAGAAAACAAACAAAAAGTAAATAAATATAAAAAATATGGAATATGTTATGCGAAATGTTTGCGGGAAATAACGATCAAATAGGTTTGGAGTGACACACGAGAAAGAATTTTTCCGAAGCAAAATTTATCAGCAGAGTAAGGAGGAAGAATAAGTCCTTAGTTGAACTTGTAGAAAATGTGGATAAGCTTGCCAAGTTATCTTATATGGATGTTACAGGTGAAATCATGGGTTCATCAACATATGAGGATATGCGAATTAGACTAAAGCAAAATATATGTACATATTACATGAAGCTGTCCAGTTGGCAATGGAACTAGAATCCGAATCAGTTGAAATAAAGCTAGTGTGGAAATATCAACTCTCTTTGATGGTGGTCTAGAAGAACTAAAAGATTAATTAGAGAACTAGTTACAAAAATGAAAGAAGTTAACCATAAGACAATACGCGTTTTAACTGTAGCTTAAAAGGAATACACTTCGTGAAAAATGTCAGAAAAAGGGTAATGTTATATACGTGTGGGAAAAATGGGCATTACCGTCGAGACTATGAGGAATAAATATATGACAATAAACCAAAGAGACAATGCCATAAGCATAAGTCTAATCAGATCAAAGGCACATACCGTGGAAAGCAGGAATAACTGTAATTGATAGGCAAAATTCAATTGAGCATATTCCATCTACACCAGTTGAGATAAGAAGTTAATTATTTAGAGAATTCACGACTTAATAGATTCATTGAAGGCAATCTTTGCAACGTATTGATTTACACTGGTTCTATGGCTACAACTGTTCAATATAATCTGGTAATAAGTGGTGGGAAATTGCCTTCATGTATGAAGAAAGAAGATGGATTAATGTGAGCAGCAAGTGGAGATGACGTTCCAGCAGGAGGAAAGTTGAAAGTCATTCTCACTGAGGGAAATTACTCTACACCACATTATACATGTGTAAACAATTCGAGGAGAATTGTATATTTGGAATACACTTCTTGTAGAAATATAGATTCTCTAGACCATCTTCCTAGAAAGAACGTCCAAGTAACAATTATTCAAGTGATGATAAAGAACAAGAGAAGAAGTCATTCCATTTTTGTACCATAAGTCATGGAAAAAAAACCAGTAAAGAAATTGTGAATGGACAGTACAGAGAGAGTAAATAATATAATGAAGATTTTTCAAATCAAAATTATGATTGTGCTTTGTTTAGCACACTTGATTAACGATTTAGTGATTGTAATGTATATTTTTCAATATTTTTTGTTAATTGTAAATACTGACTTTATTACTAAATCTGTAAGTTTGATATATTATTGCTTAATTTGCATATTAGGATTGTTCAAGGGACTTCACAATTAAGAGATGGGGCAGTGTTTGGCCAAGTGTAAAAAAATTATCTAGTTGTTTTGTGTTGTTTGCTAGAGTAATTTTGGCATGATGTAGTGAAGACATGTTGGAACCTAGAAATTTACTGAGTGTCAAGATTTAACGTGATGTCTCGAATTGTTGTGATATTTGTGAATATCTATATAAATCAGCCAGTTACACAATGAACCAGTTAATTAGTGAGTTTGTTAATCAATCAGTTTTGAGTTTATGCCGTAGATAGAAGAGAAAATTTTACAACTAAAGTTTTACTCATAAGTTTTGTTTGTATGGAATTTCTTAGAAGAGTGTTTGTTGAGTCCCAGTCAAACTGATGAGCTCTGGATTGAGCAAACACATCGTTGGTAATTGATATAATTAACATAGTGAGCTTGGAACATTATTATACATTCTTCTATCTCTTGAAAATCCCTAAGGGACTATATAAATAACGCAGTGTTGGAAATATAATAGATCTAATATTAATTTCTTACCACAAATATAATGAAATATTATCATGTTTGCCAGTGTCGTTCATGCCGTGAAAATTAGTTATTATTTTACTTGGCATCATAAATGAAGTATGGTGAGTCTACAGACATGTGAGACAGCACTACTCTCTGGAATCTGAAGAGAGAGAGAGAGCTCCATAGCAATAGAAAATCTGAAAGTTCTAAATACTTTGATTTCTTTTAGAGTGCGGTCACTACCTGACTAGTCAGTAGTTCTCTTTGTTTTGTGGTGATTTGCTAGATTTATATACCACGACCACTTAGGCTGTATTTCACGTTGCAGGAATTTGTTTGGAACATAGAACAAATGTGAAAAATTCAGATAGGTATCTGAATAAAAGATGGAATCCTTTAAGACAGACATAAGGTATGTTATCCTCCCTAAGTGATTTGTTTTTAATTTTTTTAGAAGTTTGGTGTACATTAGTAGTGGTTATGAAGACGTATTTTGGCAGTGTGTGTATGAAAGTGTTTGTGCACTGCAGGTGTCTAAAGGATCATTTTCTAAAATAAATGTGTCAACTGATTGTTTAAAGTTGCCGTGTGTGGCGGTCTGGTAGAGAAAATGTATTTTGCGAAATCCTGGGGGCTGGAATGACCTGGTGGTTAGGGCACTGTATTCGCGATCTGAAAGTCAGGGAATCGAACCTCGTCACCGAACATTCTCACCCTTAAAATTCGATCTGATAATTCTGTAACATCTATATGGTTATTTTAGCTGTTTATTGATGGATTCAAGTTCCATCACCAACTAGTGTTTTTTAAAGATGTACACCTACTTAGCTTCAACCTATTAGCATATCCTTATCTATTATGGCATTAATAATTCAGTTACATGCTATTGAATCCATCGTTTCACGTGAAGCATCCAAGTAAGATAATTGGCAAACCTTTCCTTATCTTCACAAGTTTGGCTAAGGTCTCTTCTTTCCTCTGTACTATGCTCTTGAACTTTAAATTAGCTACTTCATTCTGGTGCGTCACTACAAAATTGTTAGATAAGGCAGCTAACAACGCATGGTAATTGTTATGGCTCTCAGCTGGAAGGTTGGTTAATATCGTTAAATCCTGTACTTTTACTGGGTAGCATGATGAGTAGGTTGTTGTTCATTATTCTACCCATTCACTCTGGAATTATTTTGACTGAGCTTGATATACCTCTCATGGTACCTTTCCATCATAGTCCATTGGTTTCTTGATTGAGCAATAATCTTGAAGTGGCCAGCTAACTTCTGGAAATGGACTTTGTAATGATATGGCTGGATTAGTCTAGGAAGATCCTGCAGTTACAGATTGCACAAGCAAAATGGTAACAGGTGTAGACCAAATAGGCTCTCCTATTCCATGTTTTAATGTAATATGAAATTTTTTGGCAGATGCAGGAAGAGGTATAGCTAGTTTGATCTTTGCATTTACCAGTTTATTTTCTAAATGTTTTTTACGTCACTGATGTTCTTTTCTCCCTCATGGAATTTTTTTGTACTTGATCAATTTTGTCACTACAGTCTTTCTGTACTTCTTCTGTTGTTGTAATCCTTTTGTACATCTCCATTTGCTTCATCAATCTTGTTTTCAATCAGATCTATTCTTGTTATTAATTCTTCTTTAAATATTACGTATCTGTATTTTAACTCCACATTTAAATTCTTGTCCATCATTTTTGATATTTTAATTTTTGTCCATTTCTTCTAATTTTATGTCCCATTCTTTTACTTTTCTGTCTCTTTCCAGTATTTCATCATCTACAGCAAATTTCCGATCTGGCTTTGTGCTCTTGTTGTCATCTTTAATTTTAATCAATGTTTCTTTCACCAAAAGAATCCCACTTTTGACGTATGTGTTGTAATGTGTTCTGTTGTTGGGTAAACCCTTTTAAATTATTTTATAAAATATTATGAAGTCATGAACCATAACAAATTAATTTATTTCATCAATAACATTTGCTACGGGATACGTTCAATGATAGGCCTAACTTCAAAAACAATGTTTCAGCATAAATTCTTCAAGTAATGTAAATCTAATTTAAGAATAAACTTACTTTCAGAATTCCTCACTAACTGATTGGTAATAAAACACTGGCTAATTCAACTGACCATGAACCACAGACGAATAGGCGCAATATCTAATTCATTAACTGACTCTGAACTGATTGATTAATTAGCTAACTCACCTTAGTCATTTTTGTTCTGTACATGTTTTCTATTAATACAGAAATATTAATAAATATTAAATAAATTATAAATATATCAATTCATGTGAATATGACTGAAAAACTTAATTTTTTCTGAAAAGGTGGCGTCTATTTACTTGTGACCACGCTGTGTATATGAAATGTTATTAAAATTGAATTGGGTTATTCACATTTTATTTCAAAATCTTGTGGTTCATTTTTTATTAATTAATCAATTTTGTATACTACTGATATTTAAATTATGTTGAACTCTTATTGTTGGATGAGGTACAATAACCTAAGTCATCATTCTTATTGGATAATTAAACATCCCTAGGTTATATGATTGGCTGTGAGAATGTTTGTTCAAACATGTTTTTCCTTCTTCAAATTTGTAGATTGTTCTATTGTTGTTTTTCAAATCCGTAGATGAGACCAGAACTATTGTAGTGCGACCCTGAGAAGGATTTCCAATACCCATGAGTTCTAATCAGGCCTAAGTGTGTTTCCTTAATCCAGTTTTTAATTCTTTATAAAATATGGTTTTACATCCTGTGGTTAGAATGGTTTGCCTACTTTTAAATCCGTCATTGTTAACACAGGCAACCGTCTGGAAGAAAAGTAATATTATGATTTTATAGATTTTAACAAGAATTTATAAAAAAGGTCCAAATGTTCAAGAGCCTTTACAAGAATGATCTCTTTGGAGACCACACTTCAATATCACTTGGAGCTTTTGCATTGTTTTTCTCTATTTTACAACCACTTTTAGCCATTCACTATGACATTTCACTCTAAAATGGCATATCTTAATTCTGGCTAACGCGCTTTCTGAATTCAGTGATATGATTCTTTTAATTCTCTGTTGATTCTGATCATTTTCCTTTACTATCTCATACAGCCAATTTACCTTCTTTTTTTTTTCTAAAAGTCGATTGTTTTGTCAACCTTAATTTTTTAATTACAGTTTTCACAAGCTTTTTGTTTTGTAACATTTAATGTTTTCAATTCGAACTGTACTTTATGCGAATCATTGGCTAAACGGCCATCTAAGTGTCCCTATGGCTTAGGTATAACCATCGGGTTGTTTCGTTTATTTGTATATTGTTAGAAACAAAGGTACACAATGGGCTATTTGTGTTGTGCCCACCAAGGGCATCGAAAGCCTGTATATACTGACAATCGAAAAAAACATATATATACTAGTAGCTTTACCAAATATTAGGTAATTTAGCCACAGACCTATTAGGTTTGTAAGTTTTTATTCCACAACATAGATAAAGCTAGCAGTCTAATATAATGGGTCCCGAGCTTTGACCTCTGCAGTACACGCACAAATGTTACTGTTTCAACATCAAAAGTATATATTATGATTTTATGTTAACTAGCCATTCTCTAGCGATCCTCGTGGAGAAGTAAGTTTTAAATTATAAGCCCTAAATGGAAAACACTAAAAGTGGTTCACAATTACAAGGGAAACAAAAAGTTACTATATTTCTCCTTTCGTGTTGTTTCATTAATAAGAGGCTTAAAATAAACACTTATATTAACTGGTTATATTTCTTAAGATTTGAAACTTGTGTTTCACTTTGGCTTTTCTTCTTCTTTGTTGTGCAAGATTTTTCTAATTTTAGGGAATGTTTGGAGCTCCCCAAAAACATAATGTTTTTTAGAGTACTATACTATTGTTGAAAGTCTATTGTACATCAGGTTTAAATACTTCTTGTTTTCATAACAACGTAAAACAATGTCTTCGGAACAATATGTCATTGATGAAAGTTCATTGTAGGTCAGGGATAAATACTATTCACTTTCATAACAACGTAACACAATGTTTTCAGAACATTATATCATTGTTGAAAGTTCATTGTACGTCAGGGATAAATACTATTAGCTTTTATAAAAACGTAACACAATGTTTTCAGAACAATATATCATTGTTGAAAGTTCATTGTACTTCAGGGTTAAGTACTATTCGCTTTCATAACAACGTAACAGAGAATGTTTTCAGAGCAATATATCATTGTGAAAAATTCACTTTACGTTAGGGTTGAACACCACTCGCTTTTATAATTACGTAACTTGTTGGTTGTTAACTGCACCAAACTGAAAAACAGCTAAGGCTAATTGAGAGAATATAAGTTAAATAACAATACATCACATGCCTCAGTAAGGCTGACATATTTATTTGTCAATGGTAATACCTAGCTTCCATAAATTAGGTACATAATGACTTTGGGAATTCCGTTTGCTCGGTTTGCACTTATTTAAACCAAGTGCTCAATTGACACTCATCTATTCAAAATTTCATGATGTCAGAAAACTAAACCGATGTTCTCGTCATTGGGTGGACTTAAGCCATTTGATTCCTGAACTATTCAAAATTAGCTCAAGGTTAGAAAAGCTTAATTAACAGATGTTTATGATGCGCTGACAAAGAGATGGACGTTGACAACAGAGAAGTTTTACACATACCGCTCCCATGTTGAAGAATAATGGCACATTACTCCACTCTTGAAATAGGTTTGACTAATGTTAAGTTTTCACAATGCTAAGGGGAATAATACTGTGTTCCGAAAACACTTGTCCACAGTCAATTAAGAAATATAGTATTGATAAGTATATTTGTGGGTAATTGTCCAAAACGATTATAAAAGGTCAAGGTAGCTATAAATTATCTTCACTTTCACCACAAAATAACTTTCTGATTTTAACCGTTCCCCAAGAGTAGAAGAGCTGAAATCAGTTCTGGTGCTCCTTTACCGACGAATCTCAGAAGACCTTCAACATTTTGGTGCGTAACAGTTTCATCAAGTGAATAGCACATGCTCTGGTTTACAAGACTAACAAAAAAAGATCACTTCAAACTTGGGGCTATAAGTCTGAAGTGGAACCTTTTTGTTTCTGGCTTCATAAACTAACTCTTTCAAAAATTGTCGGTCAGGTTGACCAGAATCTTTCACAATGCATCTTGTTTTCTCCGACTGATTCTCTGCCTTTTAAATTAGCTATTTCAAATTGGACAAATCTCATATAATTAGGTGGTTCAATTACTGACAATGCTACAATGAAAATAATTACGACACTAAATCAAGAGAAACACCATAGAAAAAGGGGCCGTTTCTTTTAAATTGCAAGGTAATAAGACAGCAAACAGTATAAAATTGTGGGTTTTTGAAAGGAAACAGAACAGAAGCGCATCACTGTGAATCAAAAACAGATAGCTTTCAGCGGACATTATACTGTCAGCTGCTGGCTGTCTGTTTCTCTTCCTTTTTTTAATTTTTCTCCTTCCTTATCTTCCCACTCTTCAGAGTTTAGTATAACCCACAACCTCTCAGATTGTTGGCGATAATGACGTCTGTAACTGCATCAAACACGAACTGGATGTTGGTTGTGTCAGTAGCGCAGGTCATGTGACAGTAAATTTCCTTATTAGTTGATTTGTTTTTGGCCTCAAACTGAGCTTGGATGTAAGCTGCTGCTTCACCATACTCTTGGGCACCTGTCAGAAGAACGTACAATGTACTTAAAGCCACCATTCAACGTCAAAGATGTTTTTGCTTAATAAACTATTAATTAATATCTTGAAATATATATATTAAGAACAACACTCAATGCTTAGATTTCCTGTCCGAACCTTTCAAATCTCTGCATTTTAAATATATATGATTGATTACCTTTTGTTAATACATTTTTTTTTTGTAATCTAACAATGAGTAGGTGGTACCCAAGAGAAAAGGTCAAAAGTCGAGTTTAAGAGACAGGTCCGGGATGTTCGATTTTTTAAAGTAATTTTTAGTTACTATTACAAATAACTACATTAACAAACTACTCCCATAAACAATTATCCATTTTTATTGCAATATTTCGATGTTGGCCCACATGTCAAAGAAACAAAAATGGGGGAGGGGTCTAAATCTAGTATTCTACAAATAGACATCATTGTCGTAAGCAAATTTGCCTGCGTTTGTTTGTTTGTAATTATGCACAAAGCTACACAATGAGCTATCTGTGCTCTGCCTACCATGGGTATCGAAACCCGGTTTCTAGCGTTGTAAGTCCGCAGACATGCCGCTGTGCCACTGGGGGTTCCTGCGTTTGAAGGCTGCAATATTTTATTTTTATTTTTTTGAAAATGACTACCATTACTCTCTAACGATAGCGCCACTTATGTACTGCAGAACCTAAACATTTCAATAAATTATGGGGATCTAAGTGTTTTGGAAACTGAGAAGCAGGTTTTGATATTGTTAATAAATCATATATGTCTGAAATCTTTAGAATTTTGTTTCGATGAGAAGACATCAGATAAGCCTAGTTAGGTTTAATGAGTACGGTAGGCAACGACAAAATATCATGATGACTCAAATAATAAAATCCTTATTCATTTAATATAATTTATATGTTTAGCGTAATAAAAAAAAACGCACATGAATAAATAACTGATTAGTTAATCAATTTTGATTGTAACCATGATGTGTATTAAATGAAAATAATATTATCGTTATCATGTTTTCATTATTTTATTATCAATTTATATAATTTACACTAGTTCAATGGGAGATTCCTGTATATTTTAAAAATAAACGAAATGGCAACCTGGTGGTTGTCTCGATATTTACAATTCGCCAAGTAGGAAATGTTCAGATTATCTTTAAAAGAAAATTGCAAAAAAAATAAAAAAATCGCCAAGCCGCAAAGTACAAACTCTTGGATTTACAGTCCAGCACGCAAACTACTCGTCCCTGTTGTCCATTTAATAACGACTTCAGTAAAAATACGAAGTAGGTCTACGTAAAAATGTAAATAGGCATTCGTTGTATTTTTTTTTGGATGGGGGGGGGGGGGGGGAGGGAGAAAAACTTTCAATATTACTGCTTTGCGTATCCCTGTACAATAACCACGCGTATTACTTTTGCTACAATGTAGATGCCCATAATATTTGAATCAGTATCCTTAATTAATTGTTAATCTGTTCCACACTATTTGTTCAATATCTTTTTACATTCTTGCTTCTAGACCAGCTATATATATATATATATATAGGTCTAGGCTTTTCGGAAGCACAGCGATATACTTACCTGTGTACTCAGGAAAGCAGATTGTTAGGGGTGACTTCTTGATCTTTTCCTCAAAGAGATCTTTCTTGTTTAAAAAAAGAATAATAGCAGTGTCCGTGAACCATTTGTTGTTGCAGATAGAGTCGAACAGCTTCAGGCTCTCTTGCATTCGGTTCTAGTGTAGGAAACGAAAAACAATGGTTCTGTTATTTGTTTTACGATAAAAGTATAACATCACAACTTTATTTTGTTCTGTGAGAAAAATAGTGCATTGCAGAAAAAATAGCTTTAGCTCGTTCAACAAGTAAAGCAGCGTCAGCGACACGGGGAGGGTGACTTTAAGGACCTTGTCCACTAGTTTAGGCCCTGTTTCCACCCAGTTTCAGATTCCAAATTGATATAAAAAATCAAAGACAAATTATTAATAAAGTTAAATTTAAGCCCAAAATAATTATAATAAGTCTATTTCTGTAAAATATCTAGAGTTAATTATATTTTTTAATAATACAGTTTTTAGCAAACCCTTTGCTGAGGCCCCTTTGTCGTGGTTAGTGGTATTTTCTAATATTCGCATTTCGAGAACGGTGCCATATTCCAGTGCTGAGCAGTGTTACTCTTTTGTTATTTATGTTTAATGTCTCTTATCATACATGTTATTTGTTTATTTATTCAGAAAAGTAAATTCAACTGGTAAATTACAGCTGATTTTGTAACTAATAAAGGGAGGGTGGATAACTGTGTCTAAGGAAATCGGATTATTTACAACAGCGTATATACATTTATACATGCAAGATTGTCAAGTTATTTGAATATAAGCATTATATGTACATTCGTTACTTTACAGTAATTTGGTGTGCGTCAGTATTTGTTTATTGCACTCTGTAGACGGCCTACTCACTGAACGACTGTATTCATTTCTACACTGAACGCGAGCGAATAATTTAAAAGTGCTGCATTCAAACTGGAATATCCAGACCAGCAGCCCGCGACGTTTCCCTTGATAATTTTTTTTCATAGCTTAAATTGAACCTGTCTAAGGACTCAAAGCAAGCTGACTATTCAAAATAACCCGGACTATAATAATAATACAAATGATTATGTAGCGCTTAACCGCAACAACGTAATAATAACAATAATGTTGCACTTTAAAATATTTTAAAGTTAATAAAAAGGAACAAAGAAGGAATTTGCACAGATACACAAATATATAAAACAATAAAATTACTTTAGTTATAAATTGCTGAAAATATTAGTTCAAACTACAGGCTACTACTGTTGTGGATATCAGGGTTCTTGTTATCAGAACACGACCAGTTTGTTAACAGGACAGCCCACCTGTAGTATATCCAATAGGAACGCATGAGTAGAGTCGTGCATTTTTTACCAGTCTTTTCCAACGTTTCCAGTTTGTGTGTATGGTGTGGATTGACATTGGGTGACGTCGCTAGCATCGCTTTAGTCCAGTGTGGATGAGTCTTAAGAAGCTAAGACGTAAAGCTGCTAATATGTTAATAAGAATTAAAAAGACTACTTTTCAGGAAAGATCTATAATGTGGTAATTCGTGCTGTTTACATGTTTCATATTATTGCGCTGTCACAGAATTTACTTATTTCCTTGTATGCTGTGGCGACAGTATTGTGTAATAGTAATGAATACAAGTTAATTGATTTGGATTACTTTTTACAAAATACGATCCTCACCTAATTTAGTTAGCGCCTCCCCATAGCGCACGTGCTACCGCCGAGCCTGAAGAAAACTACATGCAGTATTGCAGAAAATAATGGGTTTAGTTCATTCTGCGAGAATATTAGTGTATTACAAAAAACAAATTTGTTCAACACGAAAAGTGCAGTTACGCTGAAAATAATAGCTTTATTTTGTTCTGCAAGAAAAGTAGAGTATCACAAAAACAATCGTTTTGTTTTTGTTGTGAGAAAAGCAGTGTATCGCTGAAAACAATATATTAGTCTGTTCTGCGAAAAAGGTATTGTTTCTTATTTAATTTCACCCAAAACTACTTGAGGTCCACCTACGTTGGCTCTCCCTAAATTTGAAGTAATAGACGAAAGGGAATGCAGTTAGTCAACACTACTCATCGTTAACTCTTGGGAAGTTTTACGAACGAAAACTGGAATTGGCCGTCACATTATAACGTCCTCACGGATGAAACAGCGAGCATGTTCTGTAACAAGATTTAAACTCGCGACCCGCAAATTGCGAGTCGAGCGACCTAACCAACAGACCATGCTAAGTTCCAAGATAAAAAAGTACGTGATCGCAGGGGAGGGACACAAAAATTTATTAATAATACTAAAATTGAAATATATATATAAAATTCCAGAACAGGAAAATTCACTCTAAGTTCAAAAGTATTAATTCTAGAATTCCTCATTAGCCTTTTAAACTCATTTTTCTAAACTATTTAGTAATGAAATTGCTTGTTAGTCCAAGAATTTATTGGATACAAGGTCCTTAATATATTTTACGTAAAAAATGAATGATTTTACTAATTGGTCAGTTCTTTACGCTGACTGGTTTACTAAGCAAGAATATTAAATCACGAAATATGCTGCTATATATGGAGGTAGTGAATCGTATAAAAATAAGTCAGTAATTTGAAGGTTAATTTAATAACCTGCTTTCTAATGGAAGGTCAAGCGCTTCAAACTTACAGTCGTTTCATCTTCGTGTAAGACTTGATCATATTCACTCATAGCTACACAAAATATAATAGCAGTCACATCTTCAAAGCAGTGGATCCATTTCTTTCGCTCCGATCTTTGTCCTCCAACGTCAAAAAGCCTGAAATGAAAAGTTTAACCACTAGTCGTTCATTTATTCAAAATGTACACGTTATCTTTATTTAGTGCATTATTTCAGTAGTAATTTCTCCTCATTTAACTACCAGTCTTCCACAAAAAAGAAGGAACCCTGATTTATTTCCTATGGGAAAACGAGATATATGTGGCCTTTTGTGAAGATCAATAAAAAAAACGAATTCTTTCAATTTTTAGTTCATTTTCTTTTAACGAATAAAATTTGATAATTTACTAATCACATTTCATCCTATACCCAAAAAATAAAAACAGTATCAGTCTTTGTACTTTATCCGTGAGGTAGTTTGAGATAGTTGTTCAAAAGTGCTTTACGAGGAAGCGCGAGCGGGTTAACCCTTTAACACAATTAACAGAACACTCATCTCACATCCGAAAGATCTCGGGTTCGAATGTGAGCCGATGAAGTAATAATAAGTTTGAAATTACCCCACGGGGGCCTTGTTTGTGATAGTGAAATAATATTCGTAGTTTGATTGTTCAAAAGTGCTCTACTGAGAACCGCATGTGGGTTAATCCTTTAGCTCAGTTGGTAAAGCACTCGTTTAACACGTTTTGATAGTTAAGTAAGGACAAAACTACAGGTCTTACCTTCTGTAATGAATTTAGAGACTGATAAGCTCGAATTTGACTTTCTAATTAATAAGACGTCTATCATAAGACTGAAATCGTATGAAATTTACGTTACCTTTTCAGTAACAAAAGCTAACAACCTGTAATTAATAATAACTTCCCATCAGAGCAAGCTTTGTACTTAAAAGGAAACTAAAAACTAGCCTGAAAAATCAGTACTGCTAGTTAAATATACATTTCTCAAGTTTCTACTTATAAAGATTAGAACACATCGTTTCATCAGCTGGATACCCTCATTATTAACGATATTGTCGACCGTAATCCCAATAATATCTTACCGGGTTCAGCCAGGAGAATTAGGTTAATCCTATATACATATATTAAGCTAACAACGCAAAGCAATCGTTGCAATAATAAACGATAACCGAGAATAAAAAGTAACGATATTTGATATACTAGATAGCATAACCAATACTGTTAATGAAAGTAACAATAAATAATATAAAATACCTTACCAAGGGAACACAGAAGAAGAAGAACACTGAAGCAGAAGAAAGTTGTTTTGAAAACTAGTAATTATTATACTTGTTTTCCCTTCCCATCTCGTCTTTTGGTATAAAAAACCCATTAAGCCACCCTTACAGGGAAGTGGCATCTGTATTTGACACGTGCTACTGTTTAAACTGTGTCAAATTTATTGCAGTAATATTCCAATAGTACAAACAAGAACTGTTGTTTATGAATACAAAATTGAAATAATACTCGATTTATCCATTGGAATTTAACAATGTTAAAAATAATGCAAAGGATTTGTTTGTAGTTAAGCATAAAGCTACACAATGGGCTATCTGTGCTCTGCCCACCAAGAGTATCGAGACCCGGTTTTTAGTGTTGTAAGACCGCAGACATTCCGCTGAGCCACTGGGAAGGGGGAGGGGGGGTGGAGAATACAAAGGAAACAACATGCTAAATAATTTATGGTTTATGGTGTGTCTGACAAACTTAACAGCTCTTATTATAAGTACTCACAGTAATAAACACACAGAGCTGCTACAGGAGGTAATAACGTACGTTAAATCTTCTGTAAAAGCACAAAAAAAACCCCATAAACCACTCGAAACTAGAAAGTTCAATAAAAATAATAATACTTATAAAGAAAAGATAGAACAGTAATCATCAAAAGTAATATAACTAAACTAATATTATAATGTCATAATGTATACAGAACTGTTATATAGCTAATATTTTAACTATAGATAATAATATTTTGAACTAATGGGAGGTAAAACCAGCGTTGATCACTATACTAAAGAGGTTCATTGTTATCCTAAACAATATCCCAAATAA